CCCCAAAACCCCAAAACCCCAAAACCCCAAAACCCCACAATATAACTTATCACCTGAAACATGGGGCTAAATAATATTACAATTATTAAAATGGAGAGGTACTGCCAACCAAGTGGCTTTCCCAAGCTATACAAAGCCCCCATTAAAAAGAGACATCCTGTCAACCCCTACTCCTCAATCTCGAGGCTGAGCAAGGTCTCCACAGAGTACATGAACACAAGGAAGAGCCTTCGAAGCTCGCGAGATCGTATCGTAGAGCTCTCAAGAAATCATCAGAGGTACAAAAGTCCTCTTGCTACAAAGAAAAAGAGTATTTTTGAGGAAAACAAGGCTGACAATATTGAACATTTTAAGAGAATGCCTCTTGTGAGGCTCTCTAGGAATTCACAGAACGAAAGTACGGCCCAAACAGCATTTAAAACTGTGAAGTCCTGTCAGAATCTCCCACAAAGCTTCATGTGGGATACTTGAACCAATAAGAAGACTTTCGATTCCAATTCAAAAAATGTGATTAAGATAAAAATGGTAAACCATCATAAATTCAAAGGAAAGGAATTTAAACCCAAAGACACTAAATTCAAAAAATACTTAGATGAAATTAGTTCAAAAATACCTGCAATGGAGAGCTCGCCTCGTAGATCCTTCCTTAAGCCCATCATTAATCGTCCCATTATTCCCAAGAATAAGGGTATCAGCCCTATGAAATTCTTGACAAAGAAAAAGACTAATAGAAGAACCCACTTCGACCACAAAAGCATATTTAAGATGGCCAACAGGTTTAGAAAAAGTAGTAAGGAATATACAAATTTTGGTGATTTTATTATAAAATCTCTCCAGCTTCCACATCCTTAGCTCTAATAATCCATTATTTTCCAATATTTAGTAAGATTCTCCCTTAAGATGACTTTTCTCCTCTGCCACATAAGCATTTTTGCAATATAGGGAATGACAGTAGCCAAAACCATGTCAAATCAAAACTCCAGAGTATAGAGCAAGCAATGACTTCTGAAGTAACAAATGGTGAGAACCAGCTTTCCTACAATCTTGACGTTAGCAGCTCGGAATACTTTACTGACAGTGATGATGAAATGTTTGATAGAGATGATATCTTCATACCTCACGATGAGATTTGTGCTTTAGGTATCCAAGAAGAGACCATTACAGCTATTAAATAAGAAAGTCAATAACCGAGAATTAAAGTTAAACAATCTCTCTTTAGGAGATGAATTTATAATGTCAATAGCAAATTTACTCAAGAAAGATAATAATTTACGCTCTGTACAACTCTCAAGAAATAAAATAGCGACTAAGGGAGCAATGGCCATCATGAACAAGATCTCTAATTCCCTATATTTCTTAGATATCTCATGAAATCCTGATATCAGGAAAGATGCATACAAATTTCTTGGGAGATATGTACTCAAAGATTATAGAAAAAGAATTACAGAACTTGATCTTGAAGGAAATAACCTTGGTGATGAAGCTCTCAGGATCATCTGTGATGGACTCAATGGATACTCTTCAGTGAAATGCTTGAACCTAAGTTCAAATAACATTACAGATAGTGGATGAATCTACATTAAAGAGATGCTTGAGTATAATACTTCGATCCATACTCTATTTCTCAGCTGGAACGAGATTAAAGGAGAAGGAATTGCTAGCATATCCCAATCTTTGAAGATAAATAATTCTGTCAAAGTGATTGATCTCAGCTTTAACCCATTAGGTCATATGTACACTCAAAAGTACAATGGAATCGTTGGATTTAGCAATGGATTAGGAGAAAATACCTCCATTGTACATATAGACCTTTCCTTCAATGGACTTACCACTGAAGATTGAGAGATACTAAATGAAGGCCTGAAGAAGAACAATACTATTCTAGGTATCCACATGATGGGAAACAGTCGAGGCCTTGATTCCAAAGGATTTTGATCGGCTGACATTATTCCTCCTAGCGCCTCTCATATCTACAAAAGAATCAATAAATCTTTAAAAGCAGGCGAAATTCATGTCAAAGATCTTGACCTGAACTTATTCACTAATTGATGGGTCTGTGAAGGATGGTCTCCGATGACCTTCAGGTTTCGGAGGGACAAGTCAAACCTACCTCACTCAAAGTTTAAATCTACAGATGATGTGCTTATTCACCTAAGTATTGATGAGTTTTATCCAGATCTTATGAGGAAAGATCCAGAAAACCCCGATGAATATTTCATAACTAGAATGGTTCCTTCAAAACCAATCCAGTTTTATTTTAGTGTGAATGGTATTGCGAGATACAGAGTAGACATCGAGAATAAGTCAGCTCTGGCTTCCAAATACCCTGGATTAAAGAAGGTAGAGCATAGAGGTGATTCAATGCCATGGAGAGTTAATATCTCTCCAATAGGGCCTCAAAATACAGTAAAGATAGACCTTGATTATCTTGATTCAATTTATTGCCGGCCAAGGCCACCCATCTACGTTCCCAAAGAGCCGGAGAAGCCTGCTCCCACACCAACATGGGAGCAGGAGAAATCGGTCTTCAAGAAGTACAGAGTGGATAACACTAAGCTCCTAGGAAAATGCTTCGAATTCGATTGGAATTGCAGTAAAATAGAGAATATGATCCGAGATGACTCTGAAAAGGAAAAAATTAAAGAGTTCCTCCAGAAAAACTACAGGCTTATGAGAGAGTGATACAGGTATTATGCAGGAGTGAACCCGTGAGGAATTCTTCCATGCATCGGACAGAATGCATTCAATGAATTAATATCTTCTACAAGAATCGTTGAAAACAAAGCTATGAAGCTTAGTGATATCGATTTTGAATTTATTGTTACTAAGTCAGGCCACAAGAAATCTGAAATGAACCCAGAAAGATGGCTAGTTAGGTACCAATTTATGGAAATTTTTGTCAGAATTGCTCTCCACAAGTACTATAAATCCAAGCTTGTTGAAACTCCTTTTGAAGCTATTTATAACTTGTGGACTCTGCACTTGATCCCAATTTTTAAAAAATTTGATTGTCACAAATGGAGACTTGAAAATCTTTGGAATGTTGAGTGAGATGAAGTGCTTGTAAAATACAAGTCGATTCTCAAAGATATCTTTGACAGATACTCAGGAAAGTACACTATACCATCAAAACCCAAATTCATGAGTATTGAGGAGTTTATCTACCTCATTAACGACTCTGGGGCATTAAGGTACGAGGTTGGCCAAGGAAGTTCCTCAATTGGATGCCAATTTAACCTTGCAATGATGACCTACGTTGACGAAATCAACTCTGATAAGCATCTACAGATGTTCTATTACGAATTTCTCGAGGCTATCTCTAGAGTTGCCTGCAAGATATAAAAATCTTTCCGAATATTGAAAGGTACCAAAACCGCTCTTCAAGTTTGAGTAAGCGACTTTTAAGATTAGGTTTCATAAAACTATAGTCTCTAAATACTATATTCTTAGCTCACACTTTCTGTTAACTTCTTACTAAAGAGAAGCTAAAGTGTGATAAAGCGAGTTTTCGTTTATTTATACAAAGAGACATATGCTAGGTCTATTAGCAATGACAAAGGAACTTTACCTAAATGACTAAAGATATATCGTTGCCTAAATTATTACCATTATAAAGCAGAAAACTATAGAGATTTTTGAGTTGACTTAAAACCCACCATTCTGGTTAGCTTCAAGCATAATTTTCCTGACACCAATGCTTCATAAAGAAAACTAGCAGGAAAATTCTAGATTTAGGTTCTGTGATATCAGACTTTAAGCTAGAGAAATTATTATTAGGCCATATTTTGTACCCTCAAGGACTTCAAATAAGTATATTTTGCTAAATCTTTTGGTTAGTATTATGGGATTTATAAACTAAGAGAAATATTTATCCAAAAATAAATTTCAAACCTGTATCAGCCAGAAATCATCATTAAAGAACCCTTAAATTAAACTATAATGCTAAAATCAGTACGTATAGATCCCATTACCAAAACAACACCTCTTCAGAGTCCGAACAAAGGAGACTATTTCGAAAAGCTTGAATCAATATCTGAAGACTCTTTCCCTATGAACCAAGCTTACGAAATAGATAGGTATGGCATCAGCCACATAATTAACGTTGAAAAGGAGCCTCTCTACCTCAAGCTTGAGATCTTCATTAAGCTCTGAGAATTCACAATCCTCAAAAACAGAAATTTCTATGAGATCTATGACGACTAAATAAATTTCTCAAATTGCAAGCAGTGCCGAGACAGCTAGAAATACCAATCTGCTTTTAATATTCTGTACTTAAAATATATTCCTTCATTCCTGCAAATAAGCTAAAGGTCCCTAATTTGCTTATGAAATAGCCCTGCTGAAATTTAATTATATTTTTCGAATTTAGACAGGCTGTAGATTACCAGGGGTTTTGGGGTTTTGGGGTTTTGGGGTTTTGGGG